TCCTTCAGTTAGAGTCCTGTGAGGTTGAGGATAAGCTGTACTCAAAACTCCTAGACTAAAATAAAACACCTTAATCATTATCATTTGATTTTCAGTTGATTTTCTAATTTATGTACGTACACTTATGATAAAATCTATTGCTACGATAATAATCACCCTATCTCTATAGCCTCCGCCTTTAAAGTCATCTACAAAGCGAAGAGTAATTTACCCAAATCCCTACGTACCCGACTCATCTGTATTGGTGAAGCTTTGGCTATCGAAACAGAAAAGCCAGATCTCTCTGTACAGAAAAAGTTCGTTCAACCCCTCCAACTTTCATGGTCTTAATCCCTCTATGCTAAAATATGGTAATTCCCAATCATATTTTAGCTTTACCAATTTTTCTTTTTTTCATTTTGTCTATTCATTTTGTAGTCCAAGTTCAAGTTGCTCCAAGTCAGTGAGTTTATGGTTAAGATATCATTTTAGTTAACTGTGCTGAACTATATTGCATGTTTTTTTATTGTATAGTTGTCGCTTTTTGCCCTTTTTTCTGTGAACTGTTTCCTTTGTTGATGTTGTTCTCATTGTTTGTCCGTTATTTTCTGATTTTGAGGGGAGCAACCCAAAAAGTTGCTTCTCTCTAAACTTTAACTTAATGTAATCATTCCTTTCTCAGGCGTGAGGCTAGCAACCCCACCCTGTAAACAAAATTGCTAAAGAAACTTCAGTATGATGAACCTCTTTGCACCAAAAGAAAAAGTCTGTGTAGGAACATGGAACGTCCGAACTATGTACGAGACTGGGAAAGCTGCCCAGATCGCCAACGAGATGAAAAGATACGGAATACAAGTGCTGGGAATATGTGAGAGCAGATGGAATGGGAGTGGACTCACCAAATTGTCAACAGGTGAGTCAGTGATCTACTCCGGTCACCCAGAAGATAACCACACGCACACCGAGGGCGTGGCTATCATGATGTCACCAACGGCAACGAAAGCCCTGATACAATGGGAGGCGATTTCGTCCAGGATAATGACCGCCAGGTTCAACTCCAAAGGAAGGAAAGTGTCAATCATACAATGTTATGCACCCACAAACAACGCAGACCTCGAAAAGAAAGAAGAATTCTACAGGCAACTACAGGCAACAATGGACAATACTCCAGCTGGCGACATGAAAATACTAATGGGAGACATGAACGCCAAACTGGGACCAGACAATACAGGAAGGGAACTCATCATGGGTAGAGAAGCTCTAGGAGAAATGAATGAAAACGGAGAACTCTTCGCCGACTTCTGCGCCTTCAACGAACTGGTGATTGGTGGCAGTGTATACAAGCACAAAGATATCCACAAGGCTACATGGGTGTCACCAGACGGGCAAACCAAAAACCAAATCGACTTCATCTCAATCTCAAGGAAGTGGAGGCGCAGCCTACTGGACACAAAAGCAAGAAGAGGAGCAGACGTTGGCTCAGACCACTATCTCGTACAAGGGACAATCCAAATCAAATTAAAAGCTTTCAGGGAATCAGGAGCTGCAGATAGACCACAAGCCAAGTTCAACACTCAAAAGCTGAAGGACCAGGCTACAAAGGACATCTTCATTGCAAGCATAAAGGACAAAGCCGAGACACAAATCAACACCAGCGAAAAGGTCAGCGTCGAAAAGCACTGGAACAACTTGAAAACGGTGTGGAGCCAAACCTGCATAGAAATTCTAGGCAGAAAAAAGAGACAGGACAAACAGTGGCTCACTACGGACACTTGGAAACTAATAGAAGAGAGAAGGACAGTGAAGCAAAAGATTATCCAGTGCACTGACGAGCAACAAAAACAGGAGCTGAATGCAAGCTACAATACACTGAACAAAAGAGTGAAGAAGAGTGCCAGGGAAGACAAAAGAAAATATTATGAAACCATGGCAAACGAAGCAGAACAAGCTGCAGGCAAAGGAGACCTCGCCACACTCTACCAAACAACTAGGAACCTTTCGGGCAAACGTTCGACACAGATTAAGCCAATAAAGGACGACAATGGAAAGTCAATCACCAAAGAGGTGGAACAGAGAAAGCACTGGGTTGAACACTTCAAAAGACTTCTAAATCGTCCGCCACCTACAACACGTCCAGCAATACCAACAACGGAAGCAGAACTACCAGTGAACACCGACCCCCCGACGAAATCAGAAGTCCTGAATGCAATCAAGATGCTAAAAGCTGGGAAAACACCGGGACCAGATGGAATCCCAGCAGAAGCTTTGAAAATAGACCCAGAGACAACAGCGGACTTGATGACACCACTGCTGGAGAAGGTGTGGAAAGAGGGCAAAGTACCCGAGGATTGGAAGAACGGATACTTATTCAAACTTCCAAAGAAAGGAGACTTAAGTCAATGTAAAAACTGGCGTGGAATTATGCTTCTGTCCATTCCAAGCAAGATACTAAGTCGCATCATCCTGGAGAGAATCAAACAAGCCCTAGATGAAAAACTTCGTCCGGAACAGGCTGGATTCAGGAGAAACAAATCATGTATTGATCAAATCGCCACTCTACGGATCATCATTGAACAAAGCTTGGAATGGCAGTCACCTCTCTATCTCAACTTCATCGACTTTGAAAAGGCCTTCGACAGCGTCGATCGAGAGGTCATTTGGAAACTACTTCGCTACTACGGGGTCCCATCGACAATTATACACCTCATCCAACAGTTATACGACAATGCTGCATGCCAAGTAATCCACAACGGGAAACTTACGGAAGCCTTCGAAGTGAGGACGGGAGTGAGGCAAGGCTGTCTACTATCACCAATGATCTTCCTGATTGCAATTGATTGGATAATGCGACAGACAACGGCAACCAACGAGGGAACAGGCATAAAATGGACTGACACAAAAGACTTGGAGGATCTGGATTTCGCCGATGATATATGTCTGATTTCCCATAAACTGGAAGATATGCAAGTGAAAAGTAACAAGTTGGCAGAAGAAGCATCAAAGATAGGACTTCACGTGAACATAGATAAAACAGAGATGATGAAGATTCCTAGCCAACATCAACAGCAACAACAACAACAGACAACAATCAGCATAAATGGGAAGAACCTGAAAGAAACAACCTCCTTCACCTACCTGGGAAGCATCGTCTCAACTACAGGCGGAACTGACGAGGACATCAAAGCCAGAATCGGAAAAGCAAGACAAGCTTTCATTACTCTCAAATCTGTGTGGAGGTCAACAGCACTCAGCATCAAAAATAAGATCCGGATTTTCAACTCCAATGTGAAGTCAGTGCTACTATACGGATCAGAGACTTGGCGAGTCATAAAGAGCATCTCAAACAAACTTCAAACCTTCATTAACAACTGTCTCCGCTCAATACTCAAGATCAGATGGCCAGAAAAGATCAGCAACAGGGATCTCTGGGAGCGAACCAATCAGGAACCGATTGTGAAACAAATAGGCAGAAAGAAATGGAGATGGATTGGCCATACGCTGAGGAAACCATCAAGTGACATCACAGCCAGACCAGCGCTCGAGTGGAACCCGAAAGGGAGGCGGCGAGTTGGTCGTCGTGCAAGGGTGACTTGGAGGAGGTCATGTGAAGAGGAGATGAAAGCATGTGGACAGACCTGGAGCAGGGTGAAAAAGTTGTCAGAAAACCGAAGGCAATGGAGGTGCGCAGCTGAAGCCCTATGTTCCTCTAGGAACTAAAGGATACAATAATAAATAATAATTTGTAGTCCTTTCGCTTATTACGTCAATTGTTATTATTACTATTCTCATTTTGAACTGTACCCGGTATTATTTCACTTGTTCCACTTGTCATTCTAAATCAATTCTTTTTTACAACGATAAATTCTATGCTATTCAATTTCACACAATATTACGTAACGTTTTTGTTTTATTCGATTTGTCTACTAATCCTATAATTGCACACTCTTTTTCAAGTTCTATCCATCCTATGAATTATTTGCTTTGCCACTTGACATTTAACTACGATTGTAATCACAAACATTTTAGTTTTAATTGAACTTCATATTATTATTATTATATGCATTCAAACCTAAGATTCAATTCCCTCACCAGATATAACTTCTTAAAAATGATATATATATACGACTGTACAGCTTGATGATATATTCGTTGAAAAGAGTCTGTTCGCTGAATCACTTGTTTTGATTTTCTATATGTTACAATGGGAATTTTCCATGACAAGCACTTATTCTGATTTAGTCTGTGCACTAGACTCTTTATTAAACAAATAAAGTTTCAGCTATTTTTTGCAAATTAATTAATTAATCTAGTAAGCCTTCACACTTTAACAGCATGTAGGGCGTATGACTCAAAAACAAACGGCAGATTTTTCAGCTAGTCACCCATTTTTATACTTTCCTCTAATTTAATTAAACACCTTGTTAAATATTGCCGTCTTACTGAATCTCTTTAAGTTTTCGTAGTGTCTATTCCTTGTCTTAAGAGTTGGACTCCTATTAATTTTTATATCCCCATCAATATGAGCACTGCTAAAACTCACATGAGACTTGAAATGCTTACATTTAACACATAATAAGCAAATCCGTCATGGATTGCATATGTTTCAAGAAGACACCCCTCCTCTCCGAAAAAAGCAGCGTGAGCATGTCCTTTAATTCGTGAACACACTTCATAATAAAATAAAGTTCATGTGAGAAAAAACATATTACTCACTGATTTAAAGACAATAGACCACAACTTTTTAATCAAATTAAAAAAAATGAACAAAATAATAAACACAACCCAAATAGTTTGTTTACTAATTATCCTTTATTCTTTATTCACCAGATGTATATTTTAAACAAAAGTTTAATGTTATCACGTATCTAACCATTTTAAATGAATAGATTACCAACAAATTATGAATTAGGTTGTGATATTTTCAATTTAAATCATTTTTTTTAGTATATTTTTTAAAATTATAAAATATTGAAATGAAGTTTTCTTCGATTTCTTGTCTTCAAAGAAATGGTAGATGTATCTCAGTTTTTCAAAACAAGTACATCATATTCTGCAATTTTGTGCTCATCGCCACCCCATGCAAAGCTTGCATTTCCTTCTCCCTGAAGCAACTAAATAATACATTAGGGAAAGGAAATAGTATTAGTGTTATTCAAATATAGTGAAAAATTTCAAATATAGACTCAATGAAAATTATTACCATTAATATTTTTGTTTTATTCCTTTGCGTTCCCACTGGGACATAGAGCTTCTCTAGCTAGAGGCTTGAAGTTTCAGTAGCAGTGGTGCTCATTTTTACGGACTGGGGTTGCTTGCCTCATGCCTAACCTTCCCTCTTCACCTGTCCTATTAGTGGTCTATTGAGGTTTAGGGGTAAGTCGGCCGGGATTCGAACCCTAGGCGATTTGCAAAAACTACTGGTGCACAAAAGCGTTATCCACTTGACCGCTTAGGCCAGTGAAAAACATTTTTATCTTAAAACTGTTTTAATTTGCTGTCAAGATTCCTTTGGAAGAATTACTTTCTATCACATTGATGTTGTTACATTTTCAAGTATTGGTTTGTAGAGATTTGATTTGATTGGATACAGGATTTCATTATGAGCTGACATCGGTTAGAGAGCCACTCGAAAACCTGCGGGGAGTACTGAACAGCAGCTTCGTCCTGGTCTAGGACTCTTTGGCAGTACAAAAACACTTGGGTTCAAACGCAGGTCCTTCTAGTTACAAGGCTAGGTCATAGACCATTAAGCCACTGGGACGTGATTCAGTGGCCCTTGACTTCCAACTTCTACCGATTCACGACATAGTGTGACCACTGGCCATTTTCTTAGATGATTAACTATCCTCACTTTCGACCTGCTGTACCCTATTGGCCGCAGTTTTCCACTAGAACCCCAGGTAACTATCTACCTGAATAGGACCAGTCACCAGTGAGCATCAGATCAATTTTAAAGTATTGGTTTGCAGGAATTTTGTCTGATTAGTTGGGGGATTTCTTTACCAGAGTACATTCACCAGTGAGAACGCGAGTGATTATTAGTCTTAATTATGAAAATTGGAAAGGAAATATGCAACCTGATAAACTCCTATAAATTGTGAAACTTAAGTCAAAATTATTTGAACAGTCATATAAGTTAATTGTAGCTGTTTCTTTGTGAGTCTCAATGAATTTATCCCAGGCTAAGAAATCGGTCTACTTTATATCTAATAGACAAAGGAATATTCTCTCATAAATTCAAACATTTTCAGGAAATGATTCAGGCTGTTATGAGCAAGGCAGATATCAAATCACTATTAGAAGAAGGAAATAAACATGTAATCAATAAATTCAACTGTATTTCAATAAACTGTGTATAAATCAATTACATCACCTTGCAACACAAACCAAAAATGAACAATGACGGATCAAAAAGTAGCGAAGCCATGAAATCCTTCATCTTACTACCTACCGATGAATGTAAGTATGGTCTTGACAACAACACAGGAACTGAGAAGTAACAAACGCTGTAGCAATCAAAAAAAGAAGGCAGCTGATTGAAGAACATATAAATATGCTCGGAAAAATGTGTTGATAGCTAGTGTGTAACGATGAACGCTTGTAAGAGAATGAAACTTCAATAAAGACGAGATAGTTAAAACAACCCCTACTACGTAAACAGCTACAGATGTAGAATAAAACTTGAGAATCCCCAAGGAAGTCAAGAAGGAGAATTCACTCGGAGTTAATTCTATAGAGCGCCTATGAGCCAAATCAAACAAAATGTGAACGACATAAAAATAAAAGTTTTAACTCAGAACAATGAAAAAACCTCTGTAGCCAAAAGGAAGCGAGAATACATAGTAAACATAAGAAACAAGAGAATTAGATACTCATCTATACGCTTGGTTGTTAGTTGGTTCGTTTTTTTGCTTCATCTTCTTTCAAGTCTGTGTGGAGGTCAACAGCACTCAGCATCAAAAATAACATCCGAATTTACAACTCTAATGTGAAGTCAGTGCTACTTACTGTACGGATTAGAGACTTGGCTTGTCACGGAAGGCACTTCGAACAAACTATGGACCTTCGTCAACGGCTGTCTTCGTTTAATACTATTCAAGATCCGATGGCCAGGAAAGATCAGCAAGAAAGATTTCAGGGAGTGAACCAACCCAGCAGGAATCGAATGAGCAACAAATAAGCGGGAAGAAATGGAGGTGGATTGGCCATACTCTGAGAAAACAAACCATCAAGTGACATGACAAGTCAGGCCATTGTTCAAATGGGACCCTAATGGGAAGCAGCAAGTCGATCGTCACTGCGAGAGTAACATGGAGGAGGTCATGCGAAGAGGAGATGAAAGCATGTGGGTAAACTTAGAGCCAGCCAGGTGAAAACTCTAGCAGAGAACCGAACGCAATGGAGACGTTTGGCTGAAGCTCTATGTTCTTCTAGGAATTAAAGGAAACATTGATATTTTTTTCTTCATCAGTAGAAGAAAATGTGTCTGTGTGAATACAAACCGCTAATGTAATCTTTCTTTGATAACACTCAAACAAAAATATTATTAAGGGCTTGTTAAATCTCAGGTATTTGAAACTTTGCACTAGTGCATGAAGTGAACTTACCTTACCAACACATGTTTCACCTTGAATTCTCCCTCTTACAACATACAATGGTGCACCATATCTGTCTATTCCACCGACCACTGCATTCTCTGGTACATCACCTCCATTCATCATTATCCATTCATAACTAAGAAAGGATTTTTAAAAAGTGTATTACAAAAATAAACATTTATTCATATGATTTTACTACTGACATTTAAAGTTTAACTCTGAAAATAAAATGTATCACTATTGTTCACTTAACTGATTTTCAGTGAAAATGATGCCTCAGCTTAATCACAAACACTAAAATAGTTTATAAATGATAGCTTCATTAAATAAAAAATACTTTTGAAACAGAGTGGAAATCTCAGAATATGGCTGCATATATTATGCACCTTAGAAGGTCGATAGTAGAGTGCTCGGCAACCGTCCTTAACTTAGATTTGTTGGTAATAATTATTCAGTTTACAAAACAAATCTATGGTAGCAGTAAAGATGATGACAGGCGTTTTCAGTTCACAGAAGAAACTACGCAGATGACTACTGAATAGTTCTGTCGATGTCACAGAATAAAGTTTAACCAAAAATTCACATTGTCATGTTTACTGTTTTTGGTAGAACCTTCACACCAATATGGAATGCTTGTATGACAACAAATTGTTCTATGCATAATAGAAGTGAATTCATATGATTTTAAAACTTCTTAAGAAATAACTTGTTACCATGTAAAGAATATTTAGTTTGAACTAAGAGAATGCGAAATGACAAGAGAGACATCCGGAAGTGACATGGAGAAGAAAATATGAGAAGAAAATGCGAGTTAATAGGCAATCATAGAGGCAGTTGAAAGGGATAGTAGAGAACTAGGTACGATGTAGACATGTCGCTAAAGACCTACATTCCACTCGAGGGTGAGAAATGAGCAGTAATTATCGTGCAACAAAACTGCTTATTTATGAATAACTAAGTGATTTCAATTAACACGATGACTGCCTTCAGTGAAGAAAATAAGTGTATAATGAAGGTACAATAGGAGAAAATTAACTGAGGAGATAGTAATTAGATGAATATTAGTGAGTGTTTTTTGAATATGGAAGTAATAATAATAATAATAAAAAGGGTAATAGTAATGTGCTTTATTCCAGAATAGTACAAATAATACAGTGTGGAATTTTCAACATTTGGTACATTAATGCATCTAATTTTATCGAATAATGATAAAAACATTTATAAACGTAGCAGTACACGATTTTTAAAACCAACTCCTATTTGGTATTAGTGGTGATATTAAGATTATAAGCAAAAGAATATATTGTAAAATAATGATAATAATAATGTTTGTAGTTGAGGTTATCAGTCAATTATATCGAACAACATTAAAAACAACTTTAGGAGTATTATTACAGGGTTGATAATGCCGGCTCTTATACGGGATTTATAGTGACAATGAAGCCAGATGTATGCATACAAAAAAGTTGTAAATAATAATAGTAATAAGGTCATTAGGGGAGATTGTCAGTTGACTGAAGTAGTGTCACCATAGATTACAAATAGGAGACAATAGAAGGGCCAATTGTTTTGCTAACAAAATAGTATTTCATAAGTTTCACACTTTACAATGTCTCTATCACACAGAACACGGGCTGGCCAAATATGGTATCATTGAGTTTCTATACTTGGTAATAAGAGCATAGAATCTTTTGTAATGACTTCTAGTTTTACTATATAAGATACAGCAAGGGGAGAGTTGAGAATAGAGTGGGTGCTGAGGATCGGACAATATAGATTTAGACCATTTCTCGCATGAATTTAGATGTCTATTAGCTAATGTAGTGACAAGGTGACTATATTGCACACCACTTGCCCCACAGACAACCTTCAATATCCTTCCCAAAGTACCATAGTACCTTTTCAGTTGACCAGGAATGACTAAGCGGAAGCAGTAAAGTACAGTAGGTAGAATACACAAGTTAAAAAATTGTAAAAGCAAAGATTGAAAGATTTCAAATTGTCTTAGACGGAACATTTTCTTTGAGATCGATAAAACATGGGATGACCGAGTAAGGTCAGAGGATAAAACTATGCCAAGGTATTTTGTGTTGGATCTAGTTTCTATTACAGTCCCCTCCATGCTACAAGCATCGTGTGGATTAACCGGTAGTTGTAGATTACTTTTATGTCTAAAGGAGAAGTCAGTAGTCTGGCATTTTGAGGGATATAAAAGAAATTAACACATCTACACCCAATGTAAATGATTTCAAGTTATTTCTCAAAGCATCTTTACTATACGGTGAGAACTACAGTATTCAAATAACTTTAAAAGAAACTGAGAGACTCAGAACTGATCTTCAGTACTCCTTGATTGTCATGAACATACTATCATGGCTTATTATATTGTTTTCTTTACTGATAACAGATTCCGATTAACCTGAACAAAACATACTTATAAGCTTTCAATTATTCTTTTAAGTTTTCTCACGAAAAACAAAAATACATAAATATCCATTTATCAAATTGTAATCACGTTAGTGTTTTTCTCATCTTCTGAACCTTGGACTTCGAGACCCAATTTTGACAGATGACAGTTTTAGGTATAATGCATAGGTGATCAGATTAATTTTTAAAAAATACGTCCGAATTCCACTTAGTCTGTACCAAGAACCTTTTGTTAAGGGTAAGAATGAATAGTCCCACAAGAAATAAAGTCGAATGTTATTCGTTCTTATACAGTATAAGCGAAAATATTGATAACTATAGTCCGAAGAGGAGATAAGAGATTATGGGCAGTCGTGGACCCAGTTGAAGAGGATGGCAGAAAACAGAACAAAGTGGAGATGTGTTGCTGAATCCCTATGTTCCACACGGAACCCAAGGAAATAATAACAGCGAAATTAGCACTATATCAACAGATGAATCACTTAGCTCACCAATTATCCTCCCCTGAAGAGAAACATTTCACGAATGAAAGGTGTTCTTTTCATTTGAATCATTCCAACACGTGCCGTATGTCTAATATGATATTCTAAGACTTGGCAAAACAGTGCTCGCAGCTTTTTCTGCAATTCATTTGGTTATATTGCTGAACTGCAGTGTAAAAAGCAGCAAAATAGCAGTTAAATTGTCATTATGATGAGTGGCAGTAGTAGAAACACCTTCGTCAAATGACTATATTTCCAAATATTACTTGCGATCACTTCTTTGCGTGAGCTACAAATATATTTCTCCTCAAATGAATACAATCAAGATACAGATTAAATAATTATTTATATCAAGAGGAAAATAATATGACAAATAAATTTACCCTTCACGACATCCAGGGATACCAGAATCGCATAAAAGTTCATAATCAGTGAACTCTAACTCTTTGCCTTCATGTGGACAATAGGCTTTACCATAAGTAGAAACAAATTTGCCAACTAATAGATCATCATTTATACGACAACGAGCCACATATATTCCTTCATCTGCTTTGAGTGAATTTTTTGGGAATGCACCACCATGTTCATGAACCCACGAAAGTGGAATTTGTACTCCATTGCCAACTTTTGCCATTATTTATTATTTAAAACTATGTACAAATGTAAACAAGATTAAGGTAGTTTAAATTGACATTTAAATAAAGTCTAATTAAAAGAACTTTGTTATACAAGAAAGTGGTAAGTGTTCTTTCTATAGATTAGTCTAGAAACGATTTCTTGTAGGTAATTTCTGTTAGGAGTACCTAGCCTGTGAGATGCTCTGATGATGCTTTCGTGACTTCATGTCACCAAATCTGCCGAGGGTGATGGGGTAGTACATCACCTTGTGGTTGTGTGCAAAGTATGTCATATAAATGCTCCCTAGTCCGATGATGTTAGCCTTGTCCAGTTTACTTGACCAGAAAAGAAAGAAGACTGGGTGTGGAACTAGAAACTATATCACTATGAATATTTAAAAACACAGAAAAATAAACTTGTTCTCTGTTAGAACCGAAAAACTCCTCAAGTAGAGGACAGATGACTCTGGTGGGTGGAAGCCCTCAAGAAACAAACCCGAAAATCTGTGGGAAACTAGAAGTTCCACATAGTACTCAAGGAGTGAATGATTCTAATAATGATAACGATAATAATGCTTGTTACGTCAAACATGGTCGTCACCATTCAACTTCCTTGATACATTCGTGTGGAAGAAACTAGTTTACTTTCATTTAACATTTAAACATAATATCAGAATGGTGAGACACTAAAAAGTAGAATCAATTCGATCGAAAAAGGTATGTCTAGGCCGACAAAAAAAAGCAAACTTAGTTCAAATGTCCTTTACAGAATGCAACTCGTTATCTTTATCATATGTTTGACAACTAGCCAACATTTACAATTTATTTCCAGGTATAAAGCAAGAGATGATGATCTAAGTAAGGAACAACTGAGCACACGTTTTATTTTCCCCTGCAGACAAAGACAGTCGAGAGTATTGCTGGATGAAATTTAAGACAACAGTATGTTTAACCCATTGTTACGTTTACTGAGGCTTAAATCTTTAATTTAGACAGTATATTACCATAAATGACAACAGACGAATTATTTGGCTCTAATAATGCTTCTCCTCCCCTTTCACAAGAACAATATCTTTAAGAGTAACCTCTTTACCACTGTCTGACAACGATGTTCTTTTTAAATCACTGTGAGTTACGTATTAATATAACTCTAAACCTTATATTCTACGAGTGGTTAACATTACCGCTATTTCAGTAAGATATATTTGATCTGGCTTGATTAACAAACTTTCTGAATAAATCTAGGTACTGTTTGAGTAAGAGTGACTTTCCCATAAAAGATACACATCAGTGTGCTTAATAAGTGAGACAGTATTTAGTCAAAACAGAATGACGGGTTCTTTTTTCACTTAAGAAAATGCGGCTTTATCATTGAATGAATTTGATTTTAGGGCGTTATAAATCAGTGTTTAATTTTAATAAATGTGCCATTTGACTCCAAAGTAATACATTAATTGAATTGCGTAATGTGACCACTAGACTGTATGACACAACAGCATAATTATAATTTTTAACAGAGTTTGTAAGATGTTATGTACATTAATTAATGCTGTAAATTGCATAAATGTAGCAAATGTTTGTAGTATGCCAAGTTGACTTATAGAAAGGACAATAAATAGCAAATTATGTAACCGTTATTGTTTTTTTTATTGAAAGCTGTGACATGTCGACCGCTTCATTTTCAATGTAACATATCAACTAAGCGACATGACAGTAAGGTACTGTTTATTTTGACATTAGGAATCCTTGAATCTAGACTTCATTCTTATATGCAACCATCAGTAAGCTATCTTTAAAACACTGAAGTTAATTGTGTTCTATTTTAGGAATCCAGTGTGCCAGTAGCTATGTAATTCCATGAAGATACAGTGAATCTTCTAAGATCACAAATGAATTCTGAAGACAATATTTATAGAATATTAGGCTTGGCGTCACACACAAAGCGACAGTTAAAATACCTACAAAGGGAGAACATTATTTGCGTGCAATCATATATATATATATATATATATATATATATATATATATGCACTACAATTTATTGACTTTATTGATTGACTGATTTTCCAACGTTGAACTTTGCACAAACATGCAGCAGTTCGAGTCATCATATTTAAGTAGCGAAAGAACTCCAAAGGAAACATAACAAACAGAAATGTACAGCAGAAGGAATAATTACATGAAGTGACATCAGTTAGAGAACCATTTGAAAACCTGCAGGGGGTACTGGACAGCTGTTTGGTCCTAGTTAGGGACTCTTTACTCACCCACCGGGTTTCGAACCCAGGACCTTCTGGTTACAAGGCGAGCCCGTAGACTATTAATCTACTGGAAATCGAACCAGTGGCCAATGAATTCCAACTTCTGCCAATTCACAACATAGCGCAACCCCTAGCCAATGTCTTCGTTAAGTAACTGTCTTCACCTTCGACCTGCAGTATCCTACTGGTCGCGGCTTCCCACTGGAACCTCAGGTAACTGCCTGAATAGGGCCAGTCGCTAGTGAACATCAGATAGATTTCCAGCTGATGTCAGCTCATGATGAAATTCTCCAACCAATCAAACAATATCTCTGCAATAAACCAGTACTTAAAAATTACATGACGAATAACTAAAATCTACTGGATCACAGGGTTTATAAAGAGTGAATGCATTTACCCCATTGAGAATGATTCTGAGCGGTATCACCGGAAATCTCCAGATATTGGTTTATAACGCCTCAAAGACCCCAGCCAGGTAGTCTATACCTCCCTACCTGGATACTTTAAAACAAAAGTCAAAGATCTCATAAACTTATGTCAGGTTTTTATTTGACCATCTCTAACTCTTTTTCAACTTATCTTTTTTTGTCAGCTAACATGCGTAACAGATGTACTAGTCATTTCAATCAATGCTGATTTCCGTAAATAAAGGCAAAATTTGTGCACCAGTACAAACCACAAGATAAATTATGTTACTAATAAGTAGGACATGTTCTAGAATAATCACTCCCGAATAAGTAAACAACCACTTTAAATCTCACTCACCAAATATGAAACAGCTAACCCTGAGTATTGTTTCTCACTTAACTATAGGTATTTAAATACTTCAGCATTTCAATTGTCTTTAAATTACTATTGGCTGATTTCGGGCACACATATCTGATTGGTTACCTGGTCTCATCGATTTTAATATATAAAGATATATATGGAGATGGTCGGCAATCTGTGACAATCTAATTAATTAATTAATTAATTATTCACTTTACACATTATTGAAATTTTATTCAAGATAAGGTCGAATGTGCTCGGTAATTCACATGTACAGGTGGACACCCTTACTGGCTTGTTTATTTTTTGTTTTGAATAAAACGGTATTTCATTTACACAAAGAATACACTGCCTACGTGTTTGTTTACTTGCTCTTAGATATTGCAATGAGAGAAAAACTGAAAGAGAACTAGTTAAATGCCTTCTACTATTACAGATTAAAGCCAACTAGAAACTAACAATAAAACTTTGAATAATCTAACTGATTGATACCATTTAATAAAAGTAATAATTAAATATTGTTTAGAAATAAAATGTGTGTTCAGACTGCAATATTACCCTACTCCTTTTCTCTTTTGATATGTACAAAGTTAAACCAAACATCAGACATTTGTAGACGGTTTCGTTTCACATACACAAATGAAAACGATTAAATGTCACGATAAGCAAAATATGAATGACATGTTGTCTGTGACAGATACTGTCTTGTCTGATTTTCATTCATTGGCATTATCATTCAGTATTTTAGTATCCTTCAAATTTATGTTCTACTACTGAAAGTGGGTTTCATTCTTATGATTTACACGAACTCATCAGGTGGTAAACTGTAAGATCCTAAAAAAGGCTGACAGTTACTAATAAACTGATATAACAAAGAAATTTCAGGACTTCATCATAGCTGACATCGGTCAGAGAACCACTGGAAAACCTGAGAGTACTGAACAGCTGTTTCTTCCTAGTTCGGTATTCACTAGAGACTGGCTCTATTCAGGTAGGTAATTACCTGAGTTTTAATGAGAAGTCATAATCAGTGGGGTACAGTAGATCAGGTCTGAGGACGGATGCTCGCCAAAGACATTGGCTAGTGGTCGCGCTATGTCATGAATCGGTAGAAGTTAGAATTTATGGGCCATTGGATTGGATCTCAGTGGCTTTTTGGTCTACGGGCTAGCCTCATAACCGGAAGGTCCTAGGTTCAAAACCTAGTGGGTGTGTACTTCTGAAGAGTCCCAAACTATTACGAAGCTGCTGTCCAGTACTCCCTGCAGGTTTTCCAATGGTTCTCAAAACCAATGTCAGCTCATGATGAAATCCTGTAACCAATCAAATCACATCCCTACAAACCAACACTTGAAAAGAAATTTTAGTTGTATAAAATTAATGACATCATTTTTTATCTTTATTTTATCCTCTATTACTATTAGTTCAGTGTTGGCGTTTGGAAAGAGGAAAGTTATCAGAATAATCTAAATGAAGTGGTTTTAAGTCAGTGATTCAATGAAAGAATATTAGCCAACCATACAGGAGATCCTAAGCCTTGTGCACTGTAATATCCTATAGTAGGCCATGAAAAGAGAGAAAGTTGGAGGTAAGACTAACAACAGCACCTCTTAAAATCAACACCACTGCTATAGAAACTACTCGGGACACAAAGCATAGAAAAAACGAAGTGTTTTTCAAATGCATGTACACTTTTTGAATTAAACGCTTTGATTTATCAAAAAGGATATTTAATGCAACATTCTATACACAATATAGTCAGAAAAGCTACTAATAATCTACTCTACACAGAAATGTATTTTACTAGTTTCTCCATTGAACTCTTCGGAATCACAGAATCATACATAAACAGCAATAAAATGACTTTGTGAATCTTTATACACTCGTCAACATATTACAAATAAAAGTTGGATCTCTTTTTTTCCTTTTCAACTCTTCCTCATGTTAACTGTGTGATGTTAAAAAAGAAACAATTTTGTGAACACTGT